GCCAATGGTCGTTCAAACCTCCGACCCATCTCACTTCATTTCACCTCATCATGTATCATTTTACCCCATCCACCATTTCCAACCACCTCCCATCACCTTTTAGCACCTTCCTGCATCTTCCCGCGTCTTCCCGCATCTTCTCGCATTGTTCCGGTTCATTCCCATCAGCATCTTGGTTCAAAGCTCATGCATCATTCATCCACCATAGCATCATTTGCATCATCACCACCATCCCCTAATGCATTCCACCAGCATCTGCATCATCATTGCATCCCGCGTCCAGGTAAGTTCTCTTTTGCTTACCTTTTTCCATACATTCATGCAATTTTTCTCATCCAAACTCGATTTATTTCACACTGAGGACAGTGTGATTTAAGTATGGGGGAGGATTTCATCCCTTTCTAACCACTTATCTTTCATGAGTCTTGCATTATCTACATTTTTTTGTATTTTTCTTAAAAATTTTCAAAAACGGGTTTTCAAAAATAAAATACGTTTTAAAGGAAATGGGGAACATAAATCGATGATGGTTGACTGTGTGCTTTTAGACTATTAGTGACATGCTCATTCGTGATTTAGGATTAGACTAGGCGGTAGCTAAGCACATTTGAAACGAAGTACCCCAGAGGAATTTGAATGATTTCGATTTAGATGAAGGAATATACTAGCTCTGTTTTTATCTGGACTTAACATTAACTTAACTTTCTCATTGAAGCATTATATCAGGAAAACGAATCATATATTCAAGACTTCTTTACCCTTTTATCACTCTTTGTTGATCTTGAATGGCTAGCTCATCTTTAGCTAGTTCCCCACCTTAACCCAACCTCTTTTAAACCACATGCATTCTTATTTTTCATTGTCCCATATGCAGATGTGTGTAAAAACGTCAGTGAAAAACAAGATCAACGCAGTTTTCAGTCACTGAAGACGGAGACCTGCGATTTAACCGGAATGATTCAACAAAGAAGAAAGCTCAATTTGCCTCGGAAAAACTTCAAAACTTTGGTATATCTTCGTCCTTTAGACTCTCTCTCTTAATAGAAGGTGTTTCCCTTTCATAAAAAAAAATCAAAAAAAGAAAAGGAAAATAAGAAAGGAAAGGAAATAAAAACCTTAGAGAGTTATGGTTTGATTATTTGGAGTTTTGGAGATTATCTTTCTGATTCCCGGAAAATATCCAAGTCTGGGGGAAATAGCTGTTTACAACAAGGGGGGAAGGATTGTGCAACAACATTAGCAATGGAAGTGACTGAAAATTGTGGGCACCAACAGGTCTTATTTTCTCTTGCTGTTTTACATAATGTCTAGCATCCTTCAGATTTTCAGGTAACCCGAAACACTTTAACTCCACCATTTAAACAGCCTTTAATACCAAATGTCGTCTACCCTGAATGATGTCTTTGATGAGAATTCACTATTGCACTTAATTGAATGTAGAGAGCTAGTTGACTGGAATCGAGATGTAGACTGTTTAAGTTTTGCATGATGGAAAAAGTGGACCTGTATCATTTGTTTCTTGGTGAGAATTTTCTAGACTAAGTTTCGATTGTTGTACGATCAATGGTCGTATTTTAGAGGTTCATGTTTCTGAGATTTGTGCATTTCCTATTTTTGTTTTCACTTCACCTGATTTGATTTTTGCTTTGTTTAAGGAAAAACAAAGGTTTAAGTCTGAGAAGTTGATAACACCGTATTTTGACCACTTTTATGGATTTTTTTTAAATACTTTTTCAATGCTTTTTATTTTTGTAAGTGTTTATATTATGGTTTTCTAGTATTTGTAGTTTCAAGACTCATTTCAGAAAACTTAGGAAAAAGCTTAGCAAAATGGATAGAAGACCAGGTTTTTTAGCTCTGAGTCAAACCGTCAGTAAGTTCACCCTCAAATGAAGACTTTCTCATCGTCTTTACCAGCTCAAATTTAGAGACCTTAAAGTTGGAGCAGCCAACTTTCCAGCACACTTCACACCAGGACAAATCAACGATTCAATCAAAAGTTATACGAAGAGCAAGATGTCCCGTCAACCAGCAGGCCACCATTCATGACCGCGGCCAGCAAGCATTTTCCACCGATCGCATACCCTCTGACTGCAGAGAATACACTGCCCGACCAAGAAACCCATTTCCAATCCCAAATCAATTCCCTCATTTGAAGAAACCCTAAGTGACGTCCAGAAATGACTTGAGGACTATAAATATATGTTTTAGGAACCCTAGGTCATATGTTAAGATTATTATTCAACCCTATCTCTTGAAACCTTTTTTTATTTTCAATATCGATTTCTATTCAGTATTTGAAGCTCAGCTAACAACAGAAAGAAGTATGGGCATAGCAAGAGGAAGTCTCACGGGGTTGTAAATGTAGATGAGTCTAGTGCAAGATTGCGTACACTCGCTTCTAGTGCCAGAGTGGAAACCTACTGGTCAGGGTCGTTGGTGACAGTTAGTTGCGATCAAGAAAGTGACGTAGTCATACCTTCGAGTTCAAGTTCTAAAAGTTTTAGCTAGGATTTTTTAAATTACTTTTTAGCAATGTTTCGAATCGTTCATACCCTGGAGATAATTTCCCTGAAAAATCCAACGTCTCGTTTTTATAAGTTTACATCGATTTTCATTCAAACTTTTACATTAAGTGTTCTTTATTTTTTCCAGCCAATTTTCTTACGTGTTAGCATTAGGTCATTTTTAGTTCCCGTTTAATCGTTTCCTCCTTTTCCCGTTTAGTTTAGGATTTACGTTTTAGTAACACCCCAAAAACCCTTTTAAATAATCGATTAGTTCTAGATTTTCTTGTTTTAATTTCTTTCAAAGGTTTTTGCAAAAATTCTCATTCCATGTGAATTCGATCCCTAAATATTACTATCTATTAGCTGTGCAATTGCGGCTTTAATTGTCTCTATTAAGGTAAAACTTATTCTCGCTCTCACACCACATCAACAGGCGCCAGGCCGCATCAAAATTTTATATATCTTTTTTGGAGTCTTATCTAATGTTAGGTTTCACTTTGGGTAATTAACCAGTTGTGATCACCCTCTGATTTTTCAAGCAAGAATAAGCATCACTCATCAAATTAATACGATTCTTATTAGTTGTTATCTTGTGATAACTAAAGTAACCCTCTTTATTTTTTTTTGCATAGGGAGCAATATCTGCAAAATATAACTCAGGCTGAGAACAACAAGTTGGCAAAAGAGAGCATGAAGTTATAGAAGAAAAGCTGAATAAACATGATAAATATTGCATGAAGTTGGAAGAAGAGCTCAAGAAGTGGGGAGAAGATAAGTTTATTAATGTGCCCATGAAGGAGTGAGCGAGGCGTTGCCGAGGCATTGTGCAAAGATTGATGTTTTATTGGCTAAAAGGAGAGCCCAAGCCCAAGAAGAGGAAAGAGTTAGCGAGCCATTTCTGAGGCAGGTTGCACAGATTGATCTGTTGCCAAAAAACCTATTCTCTGTTATTAATGTATTACGAGGTACCTTACGCGGATACAAAGGTTTCATAAAATTATTAACTTCTGTTACCAGTACAAAACCGAACACAAATATAACAAAAATGTTAGACAATCGACCAACCAAAAAAAAAGATATAACAATCAAAATGAATATTGTTCCATTCACTCACATATTGTCATTACAGAAGGTTCCTTTTCTAACTAGATGGATCTTTTATCTCTTCCTCGCCCAAACTCTCTTTTTATTTCTTGTAAATGTGTATCATTCTAATCGGTTATTCTATTTGTTTCTTTCTTCTTCTTTACCGTATTTGTTGGAGGTGAAAACTGCACCCTCAGTTTTCTCCGGTACAAACCGAGATCGGCACGAATTAAGTCCGGTTTACGAAGAAATTATACCGGGAAAATTGGGCTGGGCGAGCTCTTGGGCCGAACATGGCCCGATAAGCCAAAGTCGGTCGAAACTTCTTGAAAGAATCGAGAAGGATCCCGAGTTCGGATGAAAAAGGAAAGTTTCCGAACAGAAAAAGGAAACTGCCGAAAAAAAGAAAACTGCCGAGAAGAAAGGAAACTTCCGAGAGAAAAGGAAAGTCTTCTCGGTCCCATATCGAAGAGATGCCCGCGAAGACCGACTTAGAGGGCATATATAAAGGAAGAGGAATCGACACCAGAGGACACATGAAATTCTGAGAGACTTAAAGGCTGAGAACTCAAGATATTTCCTAGCTTCTAAGTTTCTTAAGTCTTAGTTCGTTTATCATTTATATAAACGAACTCAGTTGTATTTTGTCCGATCTAATAAAATCCCAATTCCGATCTGAATTACTGTTTTGTCCCATGTGTGATATCATATATCAACAATTGGCGCGCCAGGAAGGGGAACTTAACATAAAATTCAGTTTTTAGATCGGATTACAAAGAGATCGATCCAACAATGACAGACCCTGTCAACATCCACAATGAAGAAAACCCTCTTGACCAGGGGAACGGCGACAACCAAGTTCCCGCAGAGCAAACAGAGGGAACCCCAAGTGACGCTATCGGAGCCGGGACTGGGAAAACTCCCCCGACCGTAGGAGCCTTTGGAACCGAATTACTGCTCCAGGTGTTCAATGCGCAGTTTGAAGCTATCAACAAAAAGAGCGAGGAACGCTTCAACCAGATGGCAGCACAGATTCCCGAGCTAAGCCAAACTCCAACTCCACTACGAGCTCGTAATATCATCGACGATCTGAACACAGAGAATGATCCTACTGGAACCATGCGATCTACTGCTATCAGATCGGCAAACGCTCAAACTCCGCCAGACCTGAGTTGTGACGCCGAGTTCGAAGCAATGAAAGCGCAACTTCGCCAGATCACTTCAAAGATCCATCACGCAACAAGCGCTGCACCTGAGATCAACCGCGTCATTCAGGAAACGCAGAAGACATCTTTCACACCGCGCATAGCCGGGACGCCCATTAGACACCTGGAGAAGCTCAAAATCAAGATCTATGAAGGCAACACCGACCCCTGATACTTTTTAACCTCGTTCGGAATCTGCATGAACCGATACCAGTTCAGGTCAGCCGAAAAGAAGGACGCGGTCCAGTGCCAGCTGTTCATAGAAAGTTTAGCTGGAATCGCCCTCGACTGGTTCTCACGGCTCGATGCGAATTCGATAAACAATTACAAGGAGCTAACCACGGCCTTCGTCAAGCACTTCTCCATGTTCATCAGACAGAACACCAACAACTCCGAACTGTGGAAAATAGCTCAAGGTGCAAACGAGAGCCTTCGCGACTTCATCCACCATTTCAAGACGATAATCGCCCACTGCACGATCAGCGACGAAGCCGTTCTCTTATGCCTACAGAAGGTAGCCCGAATAAAGACAAGCTTCCGAAGCGTCATAAAACACAACCCTCCTCAGACCTTGGAGGACGCATTACACCGAGCTAACACTTACATCGCGGAAGAAAAGGAGGAAACAGCCCACGAGCAAAGCTACATCGCAAAACAGCCCGAACGACCTAAGACCGACACTTACGAGCCCCAATCAGGTCACGGTAGAGAATACGAGAACCGCAAAAAATTCTACGCCAACGCCATCCAACAACCGACCAAGCAGTGGAAACATCAAGTGGATACGTAGTAGCAAAGATCAAGACGAATCGCTGTTCTGCGAATTCCACAATCGCAAGGGACACAGCACCGAATACTGCAGACACTTGCGAGAATACTTACTCACACAGTACCGGAAAGGACAAATTTCGCTTGAAGACCTCCGATGCTCAACCGCCCACAGAAGCAGATCACCCCGACTTACCAATACACCACCCGAGAACACCGCTGCAAAGGATCTGCCAACGTTACCACCGCCTCTGCGGAATCCATCCGCCCAACCCGAGCAACAGAAACGCAACCGCGATGAGCCAGCACCAGAGAACCATACCCCCAAAGCCAGGAAACGCGTCAACATGATAATGGGGGCTATCGAAACTTGCAGCTACTCAGTCCGGGCAATAAAGGAGTACAGTCGACAGGCCGCAACCGCGCCTGAACTCTCGCACGATCCCCCGAAGGGAACTCCTTTGATATTCACCGAAGCCGACACAATTGGACTGCACAAGCCGCACAACAACGCTCTCGTTCTCGAACTCCTTCTTAACGACGTCGAAGTTAGCCGCATCCTCATTGATACTGGCAGCTCGGTCAACATAATCTTCAAAGACGCATTTGACCAGCTCGGCATTCTAGCTGACAAAATCGAACGTTTCATTGAGCCGCTCACAGGATTTAACAGCGAACGCTGTATGACGGTTGGCACAGTGAAAATCCCGATCTATCTAGCCAGTGTTGCAAAGTCATCCAATTCTTCATCTTTGACAAACCGGCAATCTACAACGCCATCTTCGGTTACCTTGGCTTCATGCAATGAAAGCAGTCACCTCCACATACCATCAGTGCCTCAAATTCCCAACTCTAGACGGCATATACACCCTCCGAGGCAACCAAGCTGTCGCCCGATCGTGCTACATCAACGAGTGCAAGCTTCGATCCGCAAATCAAACTTGCGTCATCAGCTCGCAGGGCACGACCGCCGACCTCATTGTCCATAAGACAAAGCCAAAGCAGGAAACCATTACTCAAGTCTGCATTGACGAACTGCGACCGGAACACCAGGCCGGCATCAGTGCTGAGCTCGACCCAAAAATTTGCGACGCCCTCATTTATTTCCTGAATCAGCATTCATCCACCTTCGCATGGTCAGTTGAAGACATGCCCGGGATCAACCCACAGAACGCCTGTCACGAGCTCAACATCGACCCGACTTACAAGCCGATCAAGCAGAAGCGCCGAAAACGTGGACCAGAAAAGGCACAAGCCGTTAACGATGAGGTCGAAGGATTACTCAAAGCAGGCTCAATCACCGAGGTTAAATACCCCGATTGGTTGACAAATCCCCTCGTCGTTAAGAAGAAAAATGGTAAATAGAGAATTTGTGTCGACTTCACCGACCTCAATAAAGCGTGCCCCAAAGACAGCTTCCCTTTACCGCACATCGATCGACTTGTTAAAGCAACCGCTGGGAACGACCTCCTGTCCTTCATGGACGCATTCTCCGGGTACAACCAGATCCTCATGCACCCTCAAGACCGGGAGAAATTGTCATTTATCACGGATCGCGGCATATACTGCTATAAGGTTATGCCGTTCAATTTGAAGAATGCCGGTGCCACGTACCAGCGCCTCGTCAACCGAATGTTCGCAAATCAGCTCAGACGGACCATGGAAGTCTATATTGACGACATGCTCGTCAAGTCACTCGTCGCCACTGACCATGTTGGCCATCTCCGCACCTGCTTCGATATTCTCGACCAATATGGAATAGAGCTAAACCCCATCTTCGGCGTAACATCGGGCGAATTCCTTGGGTACATCATCACTCAGCGAGGCATCGAAGCTAATCCAAAGCAGATCGCATCTATCCTCGAGCTCCCATCCGCGACAACCAAACGTGAAGTCCAGCGGCTAACCGGACGTATTGCGTCGCTCAATCTGTTTATATCCCGATCGACGGACAAGTGCTTACCGATCTACCAACTTCTCCACGGAAACAAGCACTTAGAGTGGAACGAAAAAAGCGAGGAAGCCTTTACCGAACTCAAAAAGTACATGTCAACTCCTCCAGTCCTATCCAAACCTGAGACCGGCGAGACGCTTGACATTTATATCGCGATCTCAGAATACGCAGTCAGCAGCGTACTCGTTCGAGAGACAGAGGCGAGCAGAAGCCAATCTTCTACATTAGCAAGTCCCTTGACGGCTTGGAATATCGATACCCCACCTTGGAAAAATTCGCCTTCGCCATGGTCATCTCAGCACAGAAGCTGCGCCCTTACTTCCAGTCACACGCCATCATCGTGTTGACTGATCATCCACTTCGCACCTTCCTCCACAGCCCAAGTTAGTCGGGCCGACTCGCCAAATGGACCATCGAACTCAGCGAATAGAACATCAAATACCGAGGCAGAACCGTGACGAAATCCCAAGTCCTAGCAGACTTCTTGATCGAACTACCACCTGAGCTCATTGATCCCAATCTGGCTATACAACCATGGACCCTCCATGCTGATGGATCCTCTTCCCATAAAGGATCTGGCGTCGGTATACGTCTCAAATCCTCTGATGGCAAAATCCTCAAACAGACGTTTCGTCTCGGCTTCCCTGCATCAAACAACAAGGCTGAGTACAAAGCACTTATCGCCGGGTTATGCCTCGCCAAAGGAATCGGCACTGAACATGTCCATGCCTATTGCGACGCTCAGCTCGTAGCGAATCAGTTTCACGGAGAATACGAAGCTAAGAATGATCGCATGGATGCATATCTCAAGATCCTCAAAGACATTGCTTCAGAATTCTCAACCTTCAAACTCACAAAGATACCGCAGGACGAGAACGCCTCTGGCTGCTCTGGCAACTAACTTTGATCCCGACCTCCGGCAAACAGTTCCAGTCGAGGCAATCGAGCGACCTAGTATCCAGCCTGCCCCCGTGTGCAACATCATCACGCGACGCCGCGACTACGAGGCTCATCCAAACCTCGCACCACCCCTAACCAGAAAGAAGAAGACTACGAAAGCAGTCACCGACCTCAACGTTGATTTGAATGAACAAAGCGACAACGAATCCAATCCAGACGACGAGTCTGAAGGACAATACGTCCCAATCGACATCGAAGCTGAAGGCGACAACGAGCCAGAGGACTGGACTTTGGAAATCGTCGGATACATTGGCGATAGAACGGTTCCTGCGGACAAATGGGCAGCTCGGTGACTTAAAGCTCGAGCAGCTCGATACATAGTCATCAAAGGCACTCTCCTCCGATAGGATGCATCTGGCACACTTCTAACTTGTGTTAGCAGAAACGATATCATGGAAGTCATGCAGAAAGTACACGAAGGAGAAGAAGTGAATCACTCCGGAACTCGTTCTTTGGCATTTAAGATCATAAAAGCCAGCTATTACTGGCCAACTATGCTCTCGGATTGCGAGAAGTACGCCGCACGATGTGAGAAGTGCCAACGCCATGACCTGATGATTAACCTCCTACCGAACTCTTAGTGACCTCCACTGCACCGTATCCCTTCATGCGTTGGGCAATGGATATTATCGGCTCCTTTTGCCGTTCTTCAAGCCAGGATCAATATGTGTTCGTCGTTACCGATTATTTTACTAAATGGGTCGAATCCGAAGAATATCCCGAGATCCAATGTATCGACGTTAAGAAGTTTGTCTAAAAGTTCATCATCTGCCGACACGGTGTCCCGTATGAGATCTTCACGGACAATGGCACTCAGTTCACTTCCATAATTATCACCGACTTTTGCGCCAAGTGAAAAATCCGCCTAAGTTTTTCCACTCCGAGGTACCCGCAAGGAAACGGGCAAGCCGAAGCAACGAACAAAACCATTATCAATGGCCTTAAATAGCGGCTTGATACGGCCAGGAGAAGGTGGGCGGATGAACTCGACGGCATTTTATGGTCCCACCGAACTATGCCGCGATGTTCTACCGGTCAATCACCTTTCTTTCTCGCGTATGGAACAGAAGCTATGTGTCCTGCCGAACTAAACGTTCCTAGTATCCGCCAAACTATGCTCACTCAGCAGCCCAACATTAACAAGGACATGATGCTCGACATAGTCGACTTAGTCGAAGAACATCGCGAATGAGTGTTACTCAGGATACAAAACTACCAATAATTGGCAGCTCGTTACTACAACAAAAAGGTTAAAGGCCATCACTTCAAAGATGGTGATCTCGTACTTCGTAAAGTTTACCAGAATACTGAAGAAAAGAACGCATGAAAACTTGGTGTGAACTGGGAAGGACCATATCAAGTCATGAAAGTCGTTAAGTCTGGCGTTTATCAGCTAATAAAGCTCGACGGAACCCCGATCCCGAGATCCTGGAATTCAATGCATCTTAAATGATACTACTACTAGATCATTACTCCGAACTCCGATCTAAAAAAAAATGCCTCCGAACTATTTAGTTCAGAGAAGACACCTTTTGTACTTACAACTACGAATGGCTTGATGTCTTTTTAAAAGGGTACGTAGGCAGCTCGTTACCGAGTCCAACTATAACATCAATAAAATTTTATTAAGTAAAAACGTCTATGTCTTAGTTCGGTACTTACGAAATACCGAAATCCTACTTTGCTTACATCGACTTCCTGGCCAGTTGTTCGATAGCATTCCACATGAATGCAAACTCAAAAAGCCGAGATCCGTCTCGCTAACACTCACACAGTGCAGTGGTAAACTCCACATTATAAAAGTCGGGGCCAGTCCTGCACTAAAAATTCTAAGTCATCAAGAACAATAAGCCGAGCCTATCTCGCATACTTAGGTTCGACTTAGAACCTTGAGCTCGTATCATGCGATCACAAGGGTTTGATCATTCACCCTTCCAGTACAATGCGACTCACTTGGGTTCCCCAGGCCGAGTTCCAACGTTCGCAATCAAAGCCGAACTCCTCAGATTCGCATCATAAGTCAGGTTTTCAACACTTGCAAATATAAGCCAAGTTAACGCAACGTGCTACAGAAACATAAGACTAAAGTTTGAACTAAAATTCATTAAAGAACTGATCTATTACTTAAACAAATTATGTGAAGACAAAAAACCTTATAAGAAATATCGAAATATAACAAAACCCACCGAGGGCAAACGAGTTCAAAAGATCAAAACCCACTGAGGGTTCAAAGAGCATACAAAATATAAAAAGACCCATCAAGGGCAATTGAGTTCGATTAAAAGAGAAAGAAAGACAAAGAGGCTAAGCAGTCTTGGCAACAGCAGTTTGATCCGCATTGATCATGTCCTCATTCGAGCCAAACTGCTCAACTCTTGCCTGATCTTGCCTTCCTCCGATTGGATTATCGGCAGGAGCCTCCTCATTAGCTTCAGGGAGCGGTGACATCCGCTTGTCCTCTTCAGTGAGGACATACGCATCGACGGAATGATACTCTTTCAGTGCTTCTGCGTGCTTTGCCTTGAGCTTGGCCACCATCTCGGCAGGGACCTCGTACAGACCTTTGTTCTTCAACTTTTTGATGAAGCCGAGAACTCCGGTGAGCTGATTCACCACCAAGTAAAGCTTACGAGCACGATCGGCGTCATCCAAACTTCAGATGACTTTTTCCAAACGCTCACAAGCCTAAGCATGAACCTTCCTTGCCCGATCTCTCCAGAGAGCCACCATACCTTGCAGCCGCTCCTTGTCTTGTTTGAACTCCCGAGATAGAAGAGCTTGAGCTTCCATCAGTTCAGCCTTGATGGCTTTAAGCTCCGAGCTCTCTTGCTTCAGCAGATCAACAGCATTATGGAGCTCGTCATTTATCCGAAGCTCGGTAGCAAGGCGGTCATCTACCTTGGAGATCTTATCCTCCAGCTCGGCAACTCTCATCTGCTCATCGAACAGGGCAACTTCATACCCTTCGACTAAAGTATTGGTCTGACTAGCGAGCTGCAAACAAAAACAAAATCAGAACAAAAACTTAGGAAAAGAAATACAAAAAAAAAGGTGAAATTAAAAACTCACCACAGCATTTGTGTGAGCAATTCCCTTATACAGATTCGAGAATCGCAGCTCGGGGATCTTTGGCAGACTTGGGACCTCGCTCGAGATCTTGTGATAGAGATTGGCACAAGCATCGATGTTATCCTCCAAAGGGCCCTCATCATCATAGTCGAAGCAAACCTTGGCCCCTTTTGCCGGCTCTGATTCAGGAGATTGCTCGCCACGATCCCTTTCCTGCCTCTTTCTTTTGTTCGTGGCTTCGGCTTGCTCCTCAGGAATTGCAAGCTCTGATGCAGTGGGGATCGAAGGATTGAGTTCGGCGGCCCTTTCCTGAGGATGAGAAGGGCCCTCGATCCACTTGTTTTCTTGGAGTATTTCTTCTTCTTTAATCTCTTTTGACCCGCCGGATCGGGTGAGTTCGCGACCAGAGCCATTTCCTCATCTCTCTGTTCATCCCCTTCAGTAGTAGGAAGAAGATTTTGTGCTGCATCGTTCGGCTCGACGTCATCAAAGAGATTCGGGATTTCATCCAGCAAAAGCATTGTCGAATGCTTCTTTTTTGGTTTCGCCGCTTTCCGTCTAGGAGGAGGATGAGGCTTCTTAGCTCGGCTCTTCGGTTTTAGAGGCTTCGGCTCCTTAACTGAGACTGAAAAACAGGAAGAATATGAGAATAAGTTTGGAGAAAATTAAGAAGAGGAAAATAACTAAGTAGTTTTACCTGATTTCTTAGCTCGGCATTCGAGTATCTCTTCCCACGCTTCAGGCCAGCGACGCTTACCGACTTCACTAAAAGCTGCCTGGAATTCAGGAGTGAGTGCGGAATTGAGAAGGAAACTTGGAAGATGACGACCTGCTAAGATAAGCCAAAAGGAGTTAGAAAAAATGAGTAAGTATTTATCAAAAGAAAAATGAGATCGTCTAAAGCTACCAATTGGAATCTTCCACTCCGATTGAGTTGGAATATCGACACCAGTGACTGTGAGCTCGTTAATTTCGAGGAAGAAGTATTGGGACTCCCAGTCATTGTATTTACTAGGTTTAACCCCAATAACGATGTCTCTCCGCGGTTTTGCATTAGCCGCGAAAAAACACTCCTTCGATTTATGAAGGTTAATCGAGAAGACGTCCTCGAATAACCGGTTAGATGGATCCTCGTTGAGCTCGGCGCACAACGTTTGGAACCCCGTGTAGTTCGTCACTGATGCTGGCATCATCTGCAACAAGGCAACGCTTTGGCGTTTGCAGTAGCGAAACAGGCGAGATGGGATCGGAAACGTGAGCTCGCACTGAGTGAAGTAGGTCAGGTATATGCAAAGGAAGTCTTCAGGGATGTCCCACGGGCGATCTCCGGTGTCAGGGATGATAACAACGGCACCATCTGTGAGTCCATGGGTCTCGAGTACGGTTTGAATTATCGTTGGAGATAGAGAGGAAGCAGGTACATCGCGAGGACGGATGACCTTTCGTTTCGGCATCGGTGGTGATGCGGCGTTCACCGCTTCAAGGTTGTCCTCGGCATCGTTGACCTTGGCCTTGTTGCCTTCCTCAGGATTTCTCTCCTCGAGCTTAGCGACTTCCTCAATTTCGTTGTCACCATCATCGGATGAAAAAAACTAGAGATAGAAGTAAAACTAGAGAGAAGGGAGAGCGGCGTATCTTATAGATGCTGGTGCGGAGATAATGAATGCGAGGTAGGTTCTTCCTTATAAATAAACAGTGGGAATCGTGGTTCCTCGATTTCTGCGAAATCCTGGAGTTCACGCGCTACATTAAATTTGAATTATGAAACGCCTGGGAAGACGGATCGACCAAAATTTTCGAGCTCGGTTTGTGACCTAATTTTGAGAAATTGCTCGAATGAGTTCGACTAAAAGCAACTCCCTTTTGCCGAACTGAGGGGGGCCTAACTGTTGGAGGTGAAAACCGCACCCTCGGTTTTCTCCGGTAAAAACCGAGTTTGGTACGAATTAAGTCCGGTTTACAAAAGATTTGTACCGGGAAAATTGGGTCGGGCGAGCTCTTGGGCCGAACATGGCCTGATAAGCCGAAGTCGGTCGAAACTTCTTGAAAAAATCGAGAAGGATCCTGAGTTTGGGTGAAAAAGAAAAGTTTCCGAACAGAAAAAGGAAACTGCCGAGAAAAAGGAAACTGCCGAGAAAAAAGAAACTGCCGAGAAGAAAAGAAACTTCCGAGAGAAAAGGAAAGTCTTCTCGGCCCCGCGAAGACCGACTTAGAGGACATATATAAAGGAAGAGGAATCGACACCAGAGGACACAAGAAATTCCCGAGAGACTTAAAGGCTGAGAACTCAAGATATTTACTAGCTTCTTAGTTTCTTAAGTCTTAGTTCGTTTATCATTTATATAAACGAACTCAGTTGTATTTTGTCTGATCTAATAAAATTCCAATTCCGATCTGAGTTACTGTTTTATCCCTTATGTGATATCATATATCAACAGTATTTATTTATTTTCATACGTTATCGTTTTTGACTTTGATTTATTCTTTATCATTTTTGTCTTCTCCAAAAAATATTTTTCTTCTTTTCCTTTCGATTTCATTGTCTTTCTCTTCCAATTATCTTTTTTTTTTCATCGTTTTCGTTTTCTCAAGCTTATTATTCTTTGTTTTTTCTCCATCCCGTCTTCAACCTCAACTTCTTGTGTTTCGTCTTTTTTTCTTATTATTTATTTTAGTTTATCTTCTCCCTTGTATTTTCCTTTCTCTCTTTTTCATCGTATTTGGTTTATTATTCTTTTTCATCACATTCGTCTTCTTCAACTCATTCTTCATCTTCTTTCAGTTTTTATTCATTTTCTCCAAATCTTTACCTTCTTCCTCCTTCTTCTTCTTTGACATCTTGGTCTAATCCATCTTTTTATTTTTCTTATATTTTTTTTCCTTTTGTTTTTATCATCTTTCTTGTCTTTTCTGACTTTTTCTTTATCTTTTACTTTTCTTTATCTTTAAATTCTTTTCCTTCGTATCGTTCTTCTTTTTCTATCATATCCGTCTTCTGTTTTTTTTTTTTGTCATTTTCTTCTCCCTCTTCTTCATCATTTCCCTTCTTCATTGTCTTCTTTATGTTCTCCTTCTACGTCTACTTTGTCATCTTCGAGTTCTTCTTTTTGCTCTTCTTTATTGTCATCTCTAGATTCCAGATTACTCATCCTCTCTCCCTAAATACCTCAAACACTCTAAGCAGATCCAATTCAAAGAAATCGCTTCTCTACTTCACATATCTTCAGAGATCTTCGTCTCTTATTCTCCTAACACAACCATTCTCGCCATGGACGACTCTTCTGTGTTCAACGCGTCATCACTTCCTTTTCTATTCCTCAAATAGCTTCTTCAATACCGCACACTCTCTCTAAAGCTTCCAATGAATGACTTTCTCAAGTAGCCACAAGGAACCCTTCTCCCACACGCTTCTTCGTCACATAAGCGTCGAAATCTAGACCTTCGATAAAGAATCAAGAACATCCGATGTGAATCATATCCTGATTTCACATCCTGACATGTTTCTTGGAGATTCATTGGTTAGTCATGAAATTCTTGGACATTTATATCCTTTACTTATGAGATTGTGGACTAATATATGAGATTTATGAAATTTCTTGGATGTTTCTTGGATACTATGGACTAATATATGCACAAGAATATGAGGCTTATGATATTTTATGATATGATATGTCTTATATGCATGATATGAAAAATGCTAAAAATAAGACAATAACAAACTCATTACACACAAGAAATTTTTACACCAGGATCACACGATCAATTCCTTTTTTTGCTGAGCTCTCTCATTATAGTTAGAACAGAGCTGACTATCAACTCCTTTTTTTTGCTGAGCTCTCTCATTATAGTTAGAACAGAGACAGGTAACGCCACATCATCCGTCACAGCCAAAACAATCGTCTGATTTATCTGAATTGCTTCTGCTCTTATTTATCTTTTTCAAGGATCCAACAAATAATAATGATGATTGGCTGAGCAAAGAAGGTCTGTGAAGTCTGACATAATGATTAGTAAGGTCATTGACCATTTTATTCATAATAGGACGAAATTTTGATAAAAAATGTTCGAAATAAGTTTCCTTGATAGATCGAAAATAATTTTGATTAATTGTCCGAAATATTGTTCGAAAATAAATTTGACAATTAATCAAATTAAAGAACTATACAAATAAATTCCCTGGATAGATCGAAAAGAACATATCAACTTTGTTGACAATTAATCAAATTAAAAAGATATAAATAAAGTTTCCTGGATTAATTGTCAAGAAAGTTGATATGGCCGAGTTGGTCTAAGGCGCAGGATTAAGGTTCCTGTCCGAAAGGGCGTGGGTTCATATCCCACTGTCAACATCTATACTTTTAATTTTTCTCCTTTCACGCAATTATTCAACGGTCCTATTATTCAACGGTCTTGCTCACTCCACTTATCTCGTTAAGAACACTTGGGCTCAATAAGTCTTCTTCATACACAATTTAAGAATCTAATTCTCACAAAAAGCCCAATAATATCCAAAATCTACTTTATACCCCCTCCCTCGAAAATTGAAACCATCTTCTTCGTTGAAACTCTCTGCGTAGACGAAAATGCCGTCGAAGGAAGAATACGGCATCCCTTACACACCTCTTCCTTCATCACAACCTTCTCAAACCGTTATCGTTCTAACTCCATACCGCCGTAATCGTCGTCCTTCCTTCCTCCGCAACCTCCGCTGCTCTCTCCTCTTCGCCGCCGCAATACTCCTCCTCTCCGCCGCCGTTTACTTCCTCTACCCCTCCGATCCAGACATCAATCTCTCTCGAATCCAGCTTAACCACATACGTGTCTTAGATTCGCTGAAACCCGCTCTTGATCTCTCGTTTTCCCTCACAATCAAAGTTCGGAATCGCGATTTCTTCTCCTTTGATTATGATTCACTTGTTGTCTCGATTGGGTATAGAGGGAGAGAGCTAGGGCTTGTGAAGTCGCGAGGCGGACATCTTCGTGCTCGTGATAGCTCTTATGTTAATGCGACGCTTGAGCTCGATGGTCTTGAGGTTGTTCACGATGTGATTTACTTGATCGGAGATTTGGCCAAAGGTGTTATACCTTTTGATACAATCGCTCAGGTCACAGGTGATCTTGGTGTTCTTCTCTTTCAAATCCCAGTTGAGGTATTTCTTTCATCTTTAGTCAAACCCTAGTTTTTTCCTTAATTTAGGGCTTAATGTAGATAAACTTTGGAACTTTGATTTAGTCTGTACCAAGTTTTGAACATTTTGCTTGACCAGGAAGGTTTTTAATTGAGTTATAGCACAAATGTTGTGTATTGGTTACTTCAATTCTCTGAAGCAGTCATTGGTTGTGTAGGTTTAGACCATTGAATAAAACATGATGCTGGTTTATAGGAATTTGCCTGTTTTTTTTCGTGACTTCAATCAATGGTTCTCGATCTGTGTCCTATGAAGGAAAGGATTTTGTAGTTTCTTTCAGCTTCTGGAACATGTTTGCTCTGTTGTATTCCACCCTGTTCTGAGCTGATTGGGATTTGTTGACCTTCTGAGATTAAAAAGAAGAAACTCAGATTGGTTAGGGGATATGTGTGTCCTCAATTGGGTATTCTTCTGACATTTGGTGTGACATGATTATTAGGTTATTAAGTGCTATGGTAGTTTCCAATGTTAAGATATAAACATCTGATGTGTTAATACATGGGTAACTTTGTTTTTTTCTGCAGGGTGAAGTGTCTTGCGAGGTCTTTGTTAATGTTAACAGCCAGAAAATTTCACACCAAGATTGTCATAATAAGGTAAACTGTTTTCTTTAGTTCCCCATGAGATCCTACTGGAATTTTATCAAATAATATGTTTTGGTCAATGGTTACAATGTGATTATAGTATCTACAAGACTATATTCAGATTGGCGAAAAATACTAAGTTATAGAAAAACCGAGTCTTATGGTTCAGGTAGAAGTAGAGCATTCTAATGGTGTATTTACATCGAATATAGATTTTGTCCTTCCTAGTGGCAAAAGGAAGGAAGATGGGATCTTTTGTTTTTTTTTGTTCTCTTGTATAAGTTTTGTTGAAGATGCATGAACATAAGAATTTACATTGAATATAGATTTTTTCCTTCCTAGTGGCAAAAGGAAAGAAGATGGGATCTTTTGTTTTTTTCGTTCTCTTGTATAAGTTTTGTTGAAGATGCATGAACATAAGATAAGAATCGGTCTCCGATAAGGTTGCATATTAGATAATTCGATCTGGCCCTTTAGACCATTGCATATTAGAGTGTAGGCCAATTGTTTTAAGTGATTAAAGTTACAATCATGAGGTTGTTGTGAAAGCTAAATCAAATGTTTCCGCATTGTTTTTTTAAATGTGCAGTGAAACAAAAAAAACCTGAGCTGGTCACAGATGAGAGAGGAAGAGACCAGATACATATGTGTTGATTTGTAAGATTTTGTATAGATAAATACTACTGGATTTTCATTCCAAAGTCATATGATTCTTATATATTCTATACTTTCAAACAGATACTATCACTTTAGGTCAAAGTGTGATGAAGATGTTATTGACTTGTTAAGTTCTTAGATGCGTTAGATTCAGTGATGTGCATTCTGGTTATGCGGGTGAAACGTTAATTTTTCTTGAAATAGTTTTTTTGAATTAAAAAAAACTTTAACATCGTTTTCTATTACTTTGATTATCAGCTTAGTCATTAGGCATTAGGCATGTACAGATTTCGAAATACAGAACCATAAACTTAGTGTAAATAGAAAATTTTTTTTTTTTTTTTTGTCGGCCTAAATAACAGTTCGATTAGCCAAACCGATGACACCGAGTTATAACAATAGTAAAATTTGAAATTTTAGATTATAAGAATTTGAAGAAATGATACCCTTTTGGTTAACTTTACAATATGAAAATTCTTCTGCTGGTGTTTACAACGATAAGTTTACCGGTTGGTTGAAGTGTAATCAAAACTATCCACAAGCCATAGCGTACATATATTTTGATTTCTGACACGTTGGGTTTGAGATTGTAAAAAATGTTATAGCATTCCCGTCTCTGCGACATTCCAACTGTAACCCTAATGCTGGTGAAGCTTACTACTTGAGGGTTTTATTCCACGTCGTTCGCAGTCCATGTTCTATATTGATATAAGAACAATTAAACGGTGTTGTCCACCTTACTTTTAAAGATGTATGTTATGTTTTAGGTTTAATTCATGATGATACCGAATATGTATAAGCTTTGTATAAGACAAGTCAATGGGGTTCCTGCTGCTCTCTTCAAATGAGATTCACTGCTTTGTTACGACGTGCAGGTGCTATGATGAATTCCTTTCATGTACGGAAATCCATTCAATGTCTTTTAGTATAAGTTTCGTCAATTTTATACATTGTCTTTGATTTTATTTTGTTTAACTATATTATTTTAATAATTTTTTAAATCTTTCGTTCTGTTCTGTCTGGTTTCGGTTGAGAGGTATACTATTTGAGATTTTTGATGGATGTTATTAGGCATTTTTATTGGAAGTTGTTAGTATTGGTGCTCACGCTTATATATAAATGATATCCAATAGCTAAGGATTTGTGTCTTTAGTGGTTTGGTTGGTAATTTTTTGTTTGGGTCTTTGAATTTGGTTTTATATTATTTTTCCGGTCGGTTAGATTGATATTTGGTACGTGCTGGTTATATATTTTGTTGTTTAATTATTACACTATCATGTATATATATATATAGTTGTACTGTGGTTTTTAGTCAAGATTCTCTTTTTTTTCTATTTACGATAATTTATTTTTTCAAAGATGTCATATATTTGTTCATTGGTTTTTTTAGTGTTTATGATTTCTAATATGTCTACGGTTTTGTTAGATATGATTGTGATTGTACCTAAGCTGTGAAAATGATTATTATTATATAATATATGCATATATTATGATCAAAGTAAACAATGTATATTCTGGGATTGTTTAACTATGCTCTGAAAATTAGTATTTCTTATAAACTCTAATAAAAGATGAAGATGAGTGATGAAGTCAGAGGGTACGAAGATGATGAAAATATAGAAGACAAAGTAGAAGAAAAAAATGGAAAATGAAGAAGTAGAAGAAGAGGAGAAAAAAAGATAAATCAAAATATAGAGAAGAAGATGTAGTTAATGATAAGAACTAAAGAAAAAGACGAATAGAAATTTGAATAAAACCATTGAGAATAAGAAGAAGATGAGAACACGAAATACTAAAGAAGAATAGTGATAAGAAAAAAAGAAGTTAGAGTTGAAGAAGAAAACCAGAGGAAAAAAATGAAAGATGAAAAGAAAATGAAGAAAAACCAAAAGAAGATAAGTTTGACGAAGACCAAGATGAATAAGAAGTAAAGAATAAAGAAGGCAGAAAAATCAAAAAGA